TTACTTATATCATGTATTAAGATTTGGTATATTGAAAGTGGTAGTGCCCTGACCGGTTTGGCTCAGTGGGTAGAGCGTCGGCCTGCAGACAGAAGGGTCCTGGGTTCTATTTCAATCAAGGGCATGTGTCTTGGTTGTGGGCACATCTCCAGTGGGAGGTGTGCAGGAGGCAGCTGATCGATTTTTCTCTCTCACTGATGTTTCTGACTATCGCTCTCCCTTCCTCTGTAAAAAAAAATATTTATATATATATATATATTTTTTTAAATAAAATAAAAGAGGTAGTCATTTATGTATGGGCAAGTTATATTTTTGTTCTTTAGGAAAAAGTCTAGAAAATTTTTTTCCTAGGAACAGTGTGCTAAAGATTTAGTTATTAAGAACATATATTTTGGGGGTGGGGGGGAATTTTACACTAAAAATCTTTTTAAAATGTGGCTGGTAGTCCCAATGGAATGTTTACATGTTTTGTGAGCATTTGATGGGGCCTGGAGGATGATCATTGTCCTTGCCCCAACCTTGTTTTTAATTGATGTTTGAATGGTGCTCTTTAGATTACTTGACAAAGAAACTCAGATGGCATGGAGGTTTATTTGTGACACTGTGTTACGAGTTAAGTACTACAGAGAAAACCAAGTCAGCTTAATTCTTCTCTCTGGGATCTTACAGCTATCTAAATAAAGTCACCAAACATTTTTATAACACTTTTACATATTTTTAAATATGTGTTTATTGATTTCAGAGAGAGGAAGTGAGAGAGAGAAAGAAATAGAAACATCAATGATGAGAATCATTGATTGGCTGCCTCCTGCATGCCCCTTATTGGGGATGGAGCCTTCAACCCAGACATGTGACCTGACTGGAAATCAAACTGTGATCTTCTGGTTCATTGCTTAATGCTCAAACTGGATGGATCATTTTTACATATTTTTAATGGAACAGCTCTTTAAATTAAATAGGATCAATGGAAATAGGATTGTTATATGGAAGAATTAATTCAGATATATTGAGATTTAGTGAGCTATTTAAGATTATATAGTACTAGAGGCCCAGTGCACAGATTCATAAATCGATAGGGTCCAGTCCCTCAGGCTGGCCTGCACCCTCCCGCAATTTGGGACCCCTCAGGGGATGTCGGAGAGCCAGTTTTGGTCAGATCCCCACAGGCCAGGCCAAGAGATCCTATTGGTGCACAATCAGAGCTGAGAAGGGACTGCAGGAGGTATCCTGGATGTGTCCAACCCTTCTCACGCAGTCCTGATCAGTCAGACCCCAACAGCAAGCTAACCTACTGGTCGGTGTATTTATCCCTTGGTGGTCAGTGTGCATCATAGTGACTGGTTAAATGGTCAAACAGTCAGACACTTCCCATATTAGGCTTTTATTGTATAGGATACTAGAGGCCCAGTGCATGAAATTCGTGCATTGGAGAAGGGGGGTCCCTCAACAACCTTTGCCCTCTCACAATCTGGGATCCCTTGGAGGATGTCCACCTGCCAGATGGGCCTGCTCCCTGCAGTGTTTGGGTCTAAGCTGGCAGTTGGACATCCCTCTCGCAGTCTGGGCCCCCTCACTCCTTACTGCCTGCTCGCTGCTTCTTACTGCTTGACTCGCTGCTCCTTAACGCTGCTGCAGAGCTGGGAGAGACTCTGCCACAGCCGCTGTGCTTGCCAGCCATGAACCCGTCTTCTGGCTGAGTGGAGCTCCCCCTGTGGGAACACACTGACTACCAGGAGAAGCTCCTGTGTGAGTGTCTGACCCCTGGTGTTCAGTGTACATCATAGCGACCAGTTGTTCTGGTCATTCCGCCATAACGGTCGCTTAGGCTTTCATTATATAGAGTAGAGGCCTGGTGCATGAAATTCATGCATGGGGGTGGTGTCCATCTACCCGCCCTACACCCTCTCCAATCTGGGTCATCCAACTCACAATCTGGGACTGCTGGCTCCTAACTGTTCACCTGCCTGCCTGCCTGATTGCCCCTAACTGCTTCCGCCTGCCAGCCAGATCACCCCCTAACTGCTCCCTTGCCAGCCTGATTGACACCTAACTGCTTCCCTGCTCGTCAGATTGCCCCCAACTGCCCACTCCTGCAAGCCTGATCTCACCCCCAACTGCCCTCCCCTGCTGTCCCGATCGTCCCCAACTGCCATCCCCTGCCAGCCTGATCACCCACAATTGCCCTCCCATGGCGGCCATCTTGTGGTGGCCATCTTGTGACAACATGAGGGCGGCCTTCTTGTGGTGACCATCTTGTAATGATGTGGGGGCAGCCATTTGTGGTGCCCATTTTATGACAGTGTGGGGGGTGGCCATCTTGTAATTACATGAGGGCAACAAAAGGGCATGACACCATATAGGCTTTTATTAGTATAGATTAGCAGAGTGGATAAAACCAAAATCCAGAACTCTTGACTCATAGTTCAAGGAGTCAATAACTAAGAGTTCATGCAGCAGTGGTCTAGGACAGATGATGTGAAAATATAGGGACATTGTTTAAACATCCAATCCTCTATGAAGTGCCCATTTTGTGCAAGTCATTGTGTCATTAGTTTTGTTTGATTAAAAAAATGAGAAAAGTCATAACTGTCATGAAACTATATTGTGTAGCAATAATACAAATAGCTTTTTAGGGCCAATGCAATAGAAAACTCCCTTTATACTAATATATAGTTAAGGAGAGAATTTGGAGGAAATAGCCAAGTGGGTTTCATTTACATGTAAGGAGAATGGCTCTTAGATTAAAGGGCCATAATTTCACATTCACTTCAATAAGTTTATTGAGGCAGTAAGGTTGAACAGGGATGGTCTTGGAAACTGTAGTTAAGAAGGGATGTTAGATTATATAGTTAGCTAGCTGAGACCCTGGAGATTATATAATCCTTGAGTTAATTTTACAGCTAAAGAGACTGAGTCCTAGAATGATTCTGAGATACTTGCCCAAGATTAGTCACACAGCTAGAGGGAGTAGAATTGGAACGAGGTCCCTTCCAAATGCCTGGATAAGAAAAAACACTGAAGTAGATTGGTAACAGAATCTAGAAGGTAGTGAAGTGTGGAAATATAATAGATGTGTGGAGTAGATTTATGTATAATTTTCACAGAGATGTGATTTCCATTTATTTTTAAAAGAATGGAAAGATAATTTTGACTAGTTTTTGGTTTCTTGGGAATAGCAAATCAAAAATAGAAGGATTTAGTTATCCATGGAACAGTTTGAAAAGTAGGATGAGCTGCTTGATGGCAAATATGAGAATGTCCTTCTCAACAACTTGTAAGACATTTTATTGATAACAATAATAAAGGTAATAATGGTGATATTATTAACAATAGCTACCATTTATTGAATGTTTATCCTTTGTCCAGGCACAATGTCAATCATCTGATGTACATCAGTAGTTTATTTAACTATTTCACCCTGTAACCTAATTATTATTATGTCATTTCGTAGATCAAAAAACTGAATCTCAGTTTCTTGTCCTAGTCACACTGGTAGTTGCCAAAGGAATAAAAAGTTGAATTCTTATTATGTTTGCATTCCAAGGCTGTGTTTCTCTAATTTAAGTAATGAATAGACCTTCCTTCTAAAGGAAAAATAATCTGCTTCATATTCTATATTGACTTATTTATATAATAAGACTATTTAACTCTGCATAAACATAAATTCCTTTAAGTTTGTAGCTCATATAATTTTTTTAAACTTAAAAAAAGAACTACAAATTAATTACAAGCAAAACATACAAAATCAAAAAAATTCAAATTGATATTAATTTAATGTGGAAGGTGAAGTTTTTACTGAAATGAAAATACCGATTGCAAGATGAATTTGTGGCCATTGCGCAGTTGTTTTGAGTTTGGCATACCTGCATTGCCACGTGCTTCATGATAACTTGGTTCTGCTGCCACATTTCTCTATTCTGAATTCTGTAAAATATCCCTTCAGACAGTAGTCTAGTGTCATTTGACTTTCGTTTAGTGCACTTAGATATTTATTGTCAATCCCACCTCTGTTTTCATTAGTTATGGTGAAGTACTGCCATTTGGTGTGAGGCTCTGCGATGTCATGGCCCTGTACTTAGTTATAAAATGATGGCTCTCCTGGTGCTCTAGAATATGCTTGTGTTAATTCTTTTTTGGGTTATCTTTTAGAAGAGAGCACAAAATTTAAGAAATTCAGTCTCTGAAGTCATAGCCAGGCCTCTGGTGTTTCCACTTTAAAAAACTGCCCTGCACTTTCTCTCCGACACTGTCATTGAACCACCTGACCTGTGTGGGGGTCAGTGCAGACCCAGGAAAACCTCCGTCTTCACCTACTTCCAGTGCTGCTTTGCTTCAGGCCACCGCTATTTTGCATCTGAGTTTTTGCTCAGCATGTAGTTTTGTCTCCACCAAATTATTCTCCACAGTGTGTTCCACACTGTTGAGTTTTCTGTAATACAAACTTCTAGAACTGAGCCTCAGAATCACCTCTTTCTGGAAACTTTCCTTTATTGTGTCTCCTTATCTCCTGCTTCTCACCCCACCCATTATCACCTTGTCCCTTTTCTCCCCTAGATTGAATTACTTATTTTTTCCTTCACTCCTCCTTTAGAACTCCATAACACCGTTGGCATCTCTGTTATAATGCTTAGCACATTGTGTTGCAATCCTTAACTTTTGGGTCTCCCTAAGTAGACTTACCAGCTTCTTGAAAGTACAACAGCCTGTGCACCTTCCATCGAACATGTGGTCTGAATGGGATGGAAGCTCTTGTGGTAGCTGTGATCTTGAATCACTGGTCAGTCAGTTATAATTTTAGAAGTGAGGAGTCAAAATAGGCAAGAGCAAAGTAGACATTTCCTAATCTTTCCCATTCATGTATGTGAAATTTATACCAATTGTATAAATAGTTAATGTAGTAGACTCTTTTAATATGTGAGCAACCTAATTTTGGAAGTAAACTTTCCATAAAGAATTAAACGATAGCGTTATTTTGCTGTTCTTTTGTTTCCTTTGGTTAGGTGCTGTGATTGTCTCCACGCCCCAGGACATTGCACTGATGGATGCACGCAAGGGTGCTGAGATGTTTCGAAAAGTTCACGTGCCCGTAAGCATTTATGCTTCACTCTCGCAGAAATACAAGACATTTCTAACTGAAGAAGCAAGTCACTGAGAATACAACACAAGTTTTAATTTAGTTTTGTGCAGAAGTTTATATGAAAATCTTACTTCATCTTTATGATTACTTTATTTAAAATATACATATATATATTTTATTGACTTCAGAGAGGGAGGGGAAGGGAGAGAGAAATAGAAACATTAATGATGAGAGAGAATCATTGATTGGCTGCCTCCTGCACGCCCCACACTGGGGATCAAGCCCATAGCCCAGGCCTGTGCCCTGACCAGGGCTTTATGGTTACTTTAAAACAGACATACAGGTGCAAACATATATACACACGTTATGTTAAGCAGGGAGACTTCGAAAATGTCCTTTCATTATGAGTTTTCTGAAGAAGTATTATAGGGTAGCTCACTGATACCCTCTCCCCCCCAAAAAAGAGAATATTTTAGGAAATTATTTAGGTAGATAGACTTGAATAGATAATCAGTAGGAATGCAGGTGGAAACAATGTCTTTTTTCCTTCTGTCTCCTATAATTTAACTCATTTATAGCTCACAGTCTTCTAAAAGGTATCAAAGGATACCTATACAACATGGCAAACTAGAACAACGTAAAACTAATGAAAATAAGGGAAAGGACAATTAAAATCAAATGGAGTTAGAAGTGGGATTTAAATACTTTCTAGAAATACATCATTAATTTATTTTATTTTATTTTTTTAATATATTATATTGATTTTTTAAAAATATATTTTATTGATTTTTTACAGAGAGGAAGAGAGAGGGATAGAGAGCTAGAAACATCGATGAGAGAGAATCATTGATCAGCTGCCTCTTATACACCCCCTACTGGTGATGTACCCGCAACCAAGGTACATGTCCTTGACCCGAATTGAACCTGGGACCTTTCAGTCCGCAGGCCGACGCTCTATCCACTGAGCCAAACCGGTTTCGGCTATTTTATTGATTTTTTACAGAGGAAAAGAGAGGGATAGAGAGTTGGAAACATCTATGAGATAGAATCACTGATCAGTTGCCTCCTGCACACCCCCACCGGGGATGTGCCTGGGACCAAAGTACATGCCCTTGACCGGAATCGCACCTGGGACCCTTCAGTCCACAGGCCGACGCTCTATCCACCGAGCCAAACCGGTTCTGGCACATCATTAATTTTTGAGCACCCACGGGGAAGGATACATAAGGCTGTTATAAAAATGTTTTTCCACGAAGTTAAAAAGAGCTTGATGCTCAAGAGTAGCAAAGCTGAGACTAGAGAGGCGGAAGTCTCCCCAAGGTTCTCAGAAAACAGAAGCCCCATGTATATAGGCACAAGCCTGTTCCTTCCTCCTGTGTGCCTCCACCAAAGCAGGCGGCCTTCTCCAGTGCCCGCTGGAGTGGGCACTCAGCGCAGAGCAGGGTGATGCTTCCGCCCATGCGGAGCTCAGCGCCCGTACTTCAGCGAGGGTCTTAGGGTTTACAGAGCGGCGCTTTTTAGACTTCGGCCCATGCATTAACTCCAGGCGTCTCGTGAGTCTCTCCCTCCCCCTCCTACCTCCCGAAATAGTATTCTTACTTTGTGTTTGTTTGGCATAGAGAGAATTCATAACTTTTGTTAAATTATTCAATGAGACTGATATGGCACAAGACCCAGTGATGTAGTAGAATGAAGAGACTCTCAGGGAAGCTTTCAAAAATGTTTTTCTCTCAGGAGAGCTTCAGAAAAGTACAAAATAGTAGAGTAGTGGAGTTGAGATGATCCTTTTCGAAGAGTACCTCTTCTCGCTTGCCAATTAGCACACAACTGTGTGTGCTAACAAGCCCTGAGCTCTGGATTGGATCCGCATGCTCTTATGAAGACTGAGGAGCCTCATAAGGATGGTGCCCGCATGCTTCCTTTCCAGGTGACCTGAGGGTGTTCTCGCCAGCAGGAGTACAATTGTGATCCGAAAGTGTTTTAGAGATAGCTTTTCTATGTGGATAAATCAATGATAAAGCCCTAACATGAATTGTATCTTATAAACATTGTAAAGCAATGATAACCTAATGTGCACATCAGACAGAAAACTGTCTCAGTGAAGCACTTAGTTTAAGCAATGTGACTTTCTGTTATGGCCTCCAAGATAGACTGATGCAAGGCATGCCTACCCAGATAGTTAAATAAAGTCACTTATATGGGATTTTAAAATACAAATCAGCAAAGAGTTAGGGAATTGGCTATCCACCAAAAATTATGAGACTAAGTAATCCATAATCCTTCTTTCTGGCAGAAATTAAATAATAGGACCAGTGGTCTGTTAGTGCCACTTCAAGGTCAGAATAACAGCTATGCTATCAGCATATGAGGGAATGCTTAACTTCTCATTCTTTTAAATTAAGGGTGGAGGCTTAGTATAACTCAAAAGTATCAGGAAATCCTCAAGGGAAAAGTTTTCAAAAGAGCAGAAGCAAGAGCTTTTTGTTATTCCCCATCTCCAATGAATTGTCATTATGTATAGCAAGAGACCATTGCAACTCATGCTGTCACTTGAGGCAACTGTGGCTATGGGGCAGGCCCTACATGCGCTTTGCTAATTAGGTGTCTAATGACCATCACTGCTAAATTCGGCTTTCATTTCCTATGTTATTTTCACTTACCTGCAGCATTTGACACTTACTGCCCCATAAGTTAAGAGGTAAATAATCTCATAATTGTTTGGACAGATTCTTTTCTAGGCTGTAGGACAGATTCTTCAGAAGGGGGGACAGAGAATCCTTATGGAACATAACAGTGAAGAAGCAAATGAATGACCACTAAGTCCAGGTTAGGTCACTGCTAAGTGAGTACCTCGGAGGGTAAAATTTGAGGATATCAGCAGGGAAGTTTCCTGAGGAAGAATTCCAAGGGAAGGATCCTAGGCTGCATGAGGTTCATAGGACCAGTGGTGGATTTGTTAGGGACTGAGAGAGTTGTTTATGATAAGAACGTTAATGTTGGAGTTGGAGATTGCAGAGTAAGGACAGTTCTGGATCAGGAGAAGGTTCATGTGGTTGGTCGTGGACGTGCGGGGCTGAAGTGGAGTGGAATGAAAATCATATGAAATGCATAATCCTCCAAGTTGGCTTTTTTTGACATTGTCCTGTATCTTTATTGTACAGTTTTTTTTGGTGTTTTTTTTTTTTTTTTTTTACCCCTTCATTTTAATTATTTGCCCTCTAAACAGCAAAAATCCTGGAGGGCAGTTGGGAGTGACCAGGACTTCAGGGGATGGCAGTTGGGGAAACCAGGCCTGCAGAGGAGGGCAGTTGGTGGGGGGGGCAGGCCTGCAAGGTTGAACTGTTGAGGGAATCAAGCCTTTAGGGGAGGGCAGTTGGGGGAAACCAGGCCTACAGGGGAGGGTAGTTGGAGGGGACCAGGCTTGCAGGGGAGGACAGTCGCAGGGGGACACCCAGTCCTGAAGGGGAGGGCAGTTGGGGAAGACCAGGCCTACAGGGAGAGTAGTTGGGGGAAAACCAGGCCTGCAGGGGAGGGTAGTTTGGGGTTACCAGGCTGCAGGGGAGGACAATTAGAGGCAATTGGACCTGCAAGGGAGGGCAGTTAGGGGTGACTGGGCCAGCAGGGGAGGGCATTTAGGGGTGACCAGGCTGACAGGGGAGGGCAGTTAGGGGCAATTGGGCCGGCAGGGGAGCAGTTAGGTGTCGGTCAGGCTGGCAGGGGAGTGGTTAGGGGGTGATCAGGCTTGCAGGCAGAAGCAGTTAGGGGCAATCAGAGAGGCAGGCAGGCAAGCAGTTGGGAGCAGCAGTCCTGGATTGTGAGAGGATGCAGGCTGGGCTGAGGGACACCCCCTATCACCCATGCATGAATTTCATGCACCGGGCCTCTAGTTTTAAAATAATGTAGACTATCTGATCATCTCTTAAACAAAATATAATAGGTGCTCAATAATCTTTGCAATTGAGAGAACTTTTCAGTAGTGAACTCTATAAGCAGTTGGACAAACATGAAGCACCACATTTTATAGGAAATCCCAGCTATGAATGGGATGTGGAATCTTCTGGCACTTATCAGCCTTGGAGTCTAAGTAATGGTAAAGCATTTGAAATTAGAGAGTGTTCTCTAAGTGCAAAAGAGAAATGTTTTGCTTTGTTTATACCATTTTATTCTATTTTTCCTGGTTTTTAGTTTCACTCTCTATTTTTTCTCCTTTTGAAGTGCATTAGTTACCATGGAAACAATTGTATCATTGGAATTCATTGGTATGGACAAAGTTTAGTAATGTCTACAAGAAGACTTTGAAGTTAATTTAAATGATTTCTTAAAACTCAAAGTCAGAAGAAGGAGGGGAAGAGATGAACTATTAAATTCTCTTTTCTCTGCCTGACTGATATCAACTCTGCCAAATCCTTGATTATCTCAGTAATATAGAGAGACTATTTTTTTAATAATAAAAATTTTCAATCTTATACATTTTTAATTGTGAGTACTTTAAGTGTTGTGTCATTCTCACACATTTCTCTCGCCTTCTTTTACAGGGGAGGCCCAGGCTCCTCAGTCTGAAGCCTTTCCCACCATTTGAGCTTTTAGAGTCAAAAGGATTTCACTGACCAGAAGGATTTTACCTTCCTTCATAGGTAATCTTCTTCCCAGCTCTTGCAAAGTATACTAAAGTATATTCCCTCTCTTATTTCATCTATATGTAAGGGGTCACTTGGTTAATTTTAATTCAGTAAATAGTTACCTACTCTACAAATGCATATGTACTGATCCTGAGTGCCCTCTCTACGCAGAGCACTGGGATAAGCTCCATTAGTGATTTTTTTTTTTTTAAATGAGGAGAATGAGGCTTTTTCCTTCAAGCGCTTTATCATTCTGTAGACCAGCTTCATCGTGGTGCAGAGACCTAAATTCTGAGGAAAAAGAGGATGCTTCTCTGGGCTATCAAGGAGCTCTTTCATGGGAAAGTCATGATGTTTTTTCACGTCCCTGTAATTTTCCACATGCTGGTC